TTTGAGCTGTCTTATTTTGATGGCAGTTTTCCCCCAAACTAAGCCTGAATAAACCTACCATGGAAAAATTTAGTCCGAATAAAATTTGGAACGTTATAAACCATGGAAAATGTGATTTTTAAGGGAAGTGACAGGCAGCCTTAAAAAGAAGCGATACCAATATTTACTTTTGGTACCTCTGCCATTTACCTGCATCTTCATTAAGATAGGCAGACTACTACCAGCCCGTACAATGAGCTCCCTATTCCCTGTGTTCGATGCTACCATTAAGGATCACTGGGATGTGAGCACGCGATGAAGAAGTACTGAAATTCTGCCACGATGGAATTTGCAGCCTCATAACATCAGTCACCAGAAGCCAGGGAGGAACCGCAGGGCTAGGGGGTCTCTGTCAGCGCTTATCTCCGGGCGCCTGTGTAAGAGCTCTGACATCCCCGCAGTGCAGTACAAGATACCGTGTGCACTCCTCGGGGCTGGCACTGCTATCTTTAGGAGTCACGTTGCCTTTCTCAGGTGCTTGTTTGCCAGAGGTACAGCTCACACATCACTGTTTCTTGCAATTCATTGCCCTCCTGCCAGAGGTTAAATGCTGCATTATATACATCACCAGCTTAGTGGCATGCATCCTTTCTGAGAGTTGATGCTGTGCTGATGTCTTAGAGATACAGGGGAGATTGAAAAACAACCACTCTGCTTCCATGACTATCTCTGTAGCCAGGAAAGCAATAAATCCGACGAAACAGTTAATTGAATGGAACATTGTGAGAGGAGAGATGACACTGCTAGGGACTGTATTATCAGTCAGAGGAGTCAGATCAGGACACTCCAATGATTATCTAATTTCTTCATCTCTTCTGTCAATAGCTGTTGGGCTAGAGCGACTTCATTTCATTTGGCTGCCTCTCACTTCTTTTTAGAGGCGAGAGGGCAAATCCTGCCAGTGCCACACTGCAGCATCGCATGCTCCATCTGCAGCAAACACTGTGACATTATGCTGCATTATGCTGAGCGAGCCAGACACTTCTGCTGAGCCCCGGCATTAATGATGTATCAGTGTTTCACTGACTCCCATTCTATTAAAAGAAGTTACAAGATTGGTGTTCAGCACTGATGTCTCAATTTCTTATCTGCATGGAATTTAAAGTGCCCATAACTCAAGCGCAAATGACATTCTTATTTTTAAAAAGATCCCTGTAACCGGTGGCTGATCCCATTACACATTCTTAGTCCCTTCACGTGTCGCTTTCCCATGTGGATACATTATCCTTTACCATTTGCCAGCCTGGGCCTGGGAGCGGTGTGCAGTGGGGGAGGGAAACGAGGAAGCCCAACCTGCTGTGTGGAGTCACACCTTGCCACATGGACAGGCGGGGGCCTCAAGTAGGTGTGCCTGTGCCACACACACAAACACAAACGTATTGCTTATTCCCCGGCAGATACCAATGATCACCCGAACGTGCTCCTGTGACCACAAAGTTTATAATGGCATCTGGGCTGGGATAAATCCGGGAAAGTTGGAGGTTTTCAGTCTCATTGACAGAGCGGACTGCAGAGCTGTGCCCCTTCGAGTGAGGCCATTCGCTGTTGAATCCTCTAACCCTAGGTGATGGCCCAAGTCACCAGGAACTAGGCTCCCAATAGCACAGAGGGTGAAAAGATGTGTGCTTCCCTGGAAATGCACCCCTCCTTTTCACAAAGTTTTCCTTCCAGCGTTCCTGCAAACCTTCATGTCCAGTTGAAGAGAGGAAGAGGAAGAATAATTTTCTCCGTAAAATGAAAGAATGACATTTAATACTATTACAGCCTAGTCAAAATCCAGAGAGATGGGAAGAAGTGGGATGGATGTCTCCACGAAAGAGCATTTCATCTTTAGGCCTCCAGACATACCTCTCTGCAGGAAACACCGGGCACTTGGGCTTAAGTGGAATTACACTGTTAGAATATGTGGTGCATTTTTGTGTATAAATAAGATGGAAAAAATACACAACAGCAATAGGAAAAGCAGAGTCTTTATGAGCCAAGCAATAGTTTTATAACCACTGGTAACGTGAATAGACTGATCTGCTGATTAAGTTCTGTTCCTTTTTTTTTTTCCCTAAGAAAACTTAACTTGTATTTATTTTATTTCTTAGACCTAGTTTGGATCTCATGTTATTTACTGACAAAAAACTTCATTTTGTGGAAATGTTGAACTAAGCCTACTTTCAGGTACATAAGTGATATCGAAAACACTATATAAAAAACAAATAATGGTGAGGATAGATGTTGGTAAAACCATCTGTGCTGTTCTTTGCTCTTTACAAACTGATGCTTTACTTTCAAATTATAGCAGAAAAAATGCCCTATATATCATATCACAACTAAAAAATGCTTGATGCCTCGTAAGACACTACTGCAAATTTTCCAGTAAAGTAATTATAATTGCACACAGATGAACATCTACCAAGGTTGTGCACATAAATTTCCTATGCAAACTTTGCATTTACTTGCAAAAAATGACCCATTTATGAGCTAAAAGAACAAACATGTAAATAAATGACACATGCATGTACAGTCAATATCTGTATGCAAATACCAGGCATACACTTACTTTCCAAAACCTGGTCCTAAAATGTTGCCAAAATTAGAAGCATCAAGGTGAGGCTAGGCTATAAAATACTCAAGATCAAATTTTGTCTGTTAATCAGTTTCCTCAGTCCAGTCTCAGTAAGCAGAGGAGCAGTTCCACATGCCTTTCTCACTAGTTCCACCTTGCCCTTCTCACTAAAACAAAGTCCTAACAAGATCAAGCCAATTCTCTCCCTATATAAACTCATGCAGTAATTTTCATACAATGTCCCTGTTTTACTAATAAATGAGAGCTATCACTGCCTTCAGAGAGGCTAATATGAAGCCAGCTGAGTGTCCTCTGTCCAGATATTCCCATGTCCAAGTGTGATTAGCACTGTCTTGTCAAATTTAGCTCTAAGCCATTTGTGAACACCTTCTTTGTTTATAGTAGCACACTCAAATCTGCACAGACCTCTGTGTTTGCTCTTCTGTGTATCCTATTAACAGTGCATTACATTTCAAGATGTCATACTGCAGAAAGCTACAAAAGCACTTTTAATCAATTTAAACCAAACCAAGTGAATTACTTCAATTCTGGATAAATACTGCTTGGTATACATTCTGAGAAAACAAAATTGGCTTTTTAGTTCTACTGCTGTAAATCCGGAGTGACTGTACAACAATTATTTGTACTGCATTTGAAATTGTTCAATTGCAATTATACAAAAATCCCTATAAAAATCAAACTGTGGATAAACAGAATTGAACCCTGTAAATTGCCAGTTATGACCTGCTTGGCAAGTGATATAAGGAAATAAAAAAAAATATGATATTGAGATAAATTTTCAAGAAGCTGAGAACTGATGGAATGCCTAGATATTTTTATTATTGTGTAAGAGAGTAACTAAAACCATATAACGTCATATTTCAGTTTTCATTCTGCTATAATATTTACAGCACAGTGTATTAGATCCTCCCAACCTTGCTTTACTAAAGGCAGCCTAGCTATATACGTACAACCAAGAACAACCTTCAGCTCAGGAGTTATACTTTTTTTTAGAAGTTGAAATAGAAAAAAGCAGGAACTAAGGCACAGAAAGGAGAATATCGTTTCAATTAGATGAGTCAAGAATGCACAAGGGGACTGCCTCTATCAGACTTCGTGCTGAATTCAGAACTATGCTTTCCACTGCTATATGCAAAAAAAACATTTTTAAGTGTGTTCCATCACTCCTATTTGACCAACTGTTTGCTCAGAGGCTGTATGTAGCTCCCACCTACAGAGGTTTCAGCACAATTAAACCGTGGCTCGGACAGTAACTTACCAACGCACTGTCACTCTTCCTCTGTGCACAAACTGAAGAAGAAAAGACCGCCATGACAAAGAATCTTCTAGCCTTGATTTAACAATTTCTAGCCTGTATTTCAAAGTCAGTGGGAAAATGGCAAAATGTTAGGGGTTTTTTGGGGTCAATGAGAAGAAGTTATTATTGCAAAGACAGACATTTGTATTTCTCTCAATAAACAGGACTGCATTACTAAACTATAAAGCCAAGAAGAGTCATATAGTGTGAAAATATGCAGAGGAACAACAGCTGTTAGTCATTATTTTCTCCTTATCCTTTCAACACCTCTGTTTCAGTTTGCTCTCTAATGGGTAAATCACACTTTCTCCCTAGGACGTTTTCTCATTTCGGGCAGGTACTAAAAAGAATCCTGAGACAATTAAGAGTCATTGGCCAAAGACACCTCTTCTTTTGTTGCTTTTACTGTAGACGTTGAAACTCATTTTCATGCTTTATCAAACAGATAAAGCTGATGTTCTGTTCTTTTAGTCCTTTGTCACTACTAATGTGATGCAGCATGTTTCTGCTTTTCTTCTTTAGACAATGAACCTAGCCCCTATTCTTTATTTTTCTTACACAGCCTGTGTTAAATTTCTCAAAAGAGAAATACCAACTACAAAAATCATTGCTCTCACTTCATTTAGGCGAAAGAAGAATCTACCATCAGACAGCTTTTAAACATCTGTTTTACGCTGTACCTCATCTGACAAGGTTTCACAGTAGCCATTTGGAAACAGAGAAAAAATAGATAAAATTTTGCTTATGATCAAACTCAATTTACTGCACGAGCTACTTTGCTCTATTCTCCATTTCTTAACTGTAAGATGAATATTTACTGGGAGTTTGAGCCTTTTGTTCACTCTGATTTTAATTAATCTGACTCTAGGCCACAGTGAAAATGAGGCGGGGAAAAAATGCAAACAGCTACAAACATCACAGTGCAGTAAAATTACTATGGAAATCTTACTTTTTTAAACATTTGGCTTAACCCTAATGTCCTACTAAGTTGGGCTTTTCACTGTGAAATACATTTTCCTTTAATAACTCCTAAAGTCATAATACTTACCAATTTTTCCAAGCAGTCAAATGGCAGAAACCTCCAAAATGACAGACTACATCCCTGATGAAGCTGGAATGTATCACAGCATGCGCAAGCTTAAATGCGTGCACTCTTCCATCCATTTCTCTTTCAAAGTAAGAGGTTACTTTTCTTCAGAAAGGCAATTCGGTCTACATCTGGTTTTGACTTAAAGATCTGAAAAAAATGCTATTAATCCAATGCTGTTAATCTGATTACATTTCCCACACAGCTTCTAATATGTAACATTTATTACAACTGGTACTTCTGATACCGTTTAGCAAAATGGATTGTGCTGAAGATATTGTGGAGAAGGCACGAGTAACCTTCTATCTGCAGCTATTCTTGGGCAGTGCTAAGGTAGACACGCTCCTTATGGCTACGCTCAAAAAGGCAAAATATTATTCCGAAGGGTACAGTGCCTCACTCTTTGTGGTGCCTCAGTAACGTGATTCTTCAATGGGCCAATAAATTACCTGGGTTTGAAGCCTTCCTTCAGAATCTAGGGCAGCTCCATCCCACCAACCCTCCTAGCTTCCTCAGAGCTGGTATTATTACTGTTTACCAGCTCCTACATACAATCACTCTGTTGTTTCTGTCCCCCTCACATGCATCAGTGATCGCAATCTCAGAAAGAAAAGGGGGGGAAAAAAAAAAAGAAAATGGAAATAAAAATGAGCTTCCTTGGTACCGGGGAACATGGAAACGGCACGAGTTTGGCATAAAACCTTGCGGATGTTGCAACAGCATCTGATGCTGGCAGCGGAATGAAGTATCGGGACCACATGAAAAATAATTTAAAAAGGCACGTTTCCTCGGCAAAAATACCCTACTAAAAAAAAAAAAGCCACTATGCTAATTAGGAAAGCAACGTTATGTTAGGGGGGATTACATCACGGCGCGTATCAGGGGGTGACGCGTTATGAAATAAGGACCCCTCTAAGGAGCATCATTTTCTCCACCACCCCAGGGTGAAAGGCCTTTGTCTGTGCCCGCGCACCCTGCCTG